CCCGACTGCCGACTCTCAATGGACCAATCACAGTGAGGCGCCAAGTCGGCGCCTCACTGTGATTGGTCCATTGAGAGTCGGCAGTCGTAGTCGGCAGTCGGGTCGGCCTGTGCAGTCGGTAGTCTGATACGGGCTTAACGCGACTCATAAAAAATGAAAATTTTTTAATTTGAAAGCATTTAGGAACATTATTTGTTATTTTAAAAAATTAAATGAATGCTCCGATATGTAATCCGTCAAAAGTAATATCAAGGAAGAAATCTTTGTCTCTCATGTATATACAGTCCAATAATGATGATAAATTTTTAATATTTTTGCGGAAAAGAGGGAAAATCATTTAATTATCTCTTTCTCTGATAATTTTTATATTCAAGCGTTATATAAAAGCATATATTTTAATATCATAGTTCATTAAGAATACATTTGAATAAATAAGTTATAAGGAGGAAGGTTTGGATTTTTGTGAACATTTTTTATTAAAATTCTAAAATAGTTTCTTTGGATTACATTAAGGATCGAAGAAATAGGGTATATCTTTCTGCTGCTCTTTCAACGTAGCCAGAGCACGCTCTATGTTTTCTGGCAGATGATCTAGCAGCATACGCGGCATTACTGACATTTTCGTGAACTCTTCCGCCCGAGCCCACCGCATCTCGTATTTTCTTTCCTTTGCGAGTTCTTTTTTGCTATAAGGAAGTAATATAAAAATTAATATAAAATTAATATAAAAATTATATTATATTATGAATTGCACTATCAATCAATCATTTTATAGTAATAATCCTTAATCAATTAATAATCTATTGATATCAATCAATTTCAACGAGAAAATATACGAGAACAACTCACCTCTTTCCCTCCGTTTTCTCGAGCTTGCATCTCGTTATATGAAGTATACGTCCAGCAGTAAACAGCTTCTCTTTCGAATATCTTCTTTTTGTTATGTCACGTTCTAATATCTTATTATTCTGCGAAAAAGTGTATATATAAAAAAATAATATATATTACATATTATATATATTATATAAAATTATATATATATATATATATATATATATATATATATATATAATTTGTTGAAATAACACGCGCGCAGGAAAATTCAGTAAAATAATCAAATATGTAACGAGTATTTGTTTAGTGTTTTTTATTTATTTTTATTTTTTTTTTCAACACGACGGCTCAATCTTACCTCGTCCCTTATAATGTCGGACCCGACGAGTAAAGGCGAGTGGCCCGGAATTGTGCTGACTATATTATAGTTAGCCCACGTTTTTGTAAGGTCTCTCTCAGGAACTCCAAACAAAGCGTATCCGAATCCATGCAGAATTACTCTGTACTAAAGATATAAAAGAATTTATGCAAATAGCTCGATTTTATCCCTCATAAAGAAACTTACAATAGTATTCTCCACCGATTTTTCTAAAACGCTGTGAAGATATAATAAACAGCTATTTTTATAAGTACTTAACCATAAGTTTAGAGGATGAAATATATATATATATATATATATATATATATATATATATATTTAATAAAGTTAAAATGCGCGTTTTAAAATATTCTTCCAATTCCAATTCCGATTCTTCAGTTTCCATTTTTCTTCTATCTTCTTATAGATCTCTTCTCCCAACTCTCTCTCTCTCTCTCTCTCTCTCTCTCTCTCTCTCTC